TATCTACATCATTGCCACAGTGAACTACAGCCATGAAGAAAGACTTCTTGAGAGAACAAAAACAGTAAAGTTAGGATGCCTAAGTGTTCCTTTGCCCAAATGAAATATTAGCAGTGTCATCATAACTGTGGCACTCAGGTCGCCTTTACAGCAGTGTGTTGCAAAAAGTTCCACAAACATGAATCAATCTCATGACACCCCGCAGGGAAGGCAGAGCAGCTCCATCCTACAGTTGAATGGCAGGGACAGGCCACAGCAATGGTGAATAGGCAATTGGAAGAAACTGAGCTCAGCGAAGTCTCAGAAGCTAGGATCAACCAATCCCTTTGGAAATTCAACCATAAATCTTAATAAAGTTTACATATTTGAGCTTAATAATTCTGACTCTAGTATTTTTTCCTAATATACAGAAGGAAATAACCCAATATACAGAATAATTTTTTGCACAAAGGTATTCATCAAAGCATTATGTATAAGGAGAAAAACTACAATACCCAACAAGAAGAGCACACTTTTAAAATTTAAGAACACATACATAAAAGAATACTATGATGTGATTTTAAATCATATTTACAAGAAAATGCTCATAATAAATGTTTAAAAGGGAATGATAAGGTTATAAAATTGAATATATATTATCAAACAGTTCTGTAAGAAAAAAAATTGCACAGGAAAACTATTGAAAGGACACAGGTCAAAATGCTAATAGTGCAAAGCTTCATATGGCAGGACCATGTATGGGTAATTGTTGCAAAAGGTACCCCGCTCACTGTAAGAAAATTTGGAAAACACATGAAAGGGAAAAATTAAGTTTTTTGTTACAAAACAGTATCTAAATGATTAAAATTATTTTTAAATTACATGCACTGAGAAATTTAAATACAATGTATAAATTCCTTTATGCAACAATAAAATCATAATTGGGAAGTTGAATTTGCGATATGTATCCATGTGGGTATATCTCACAGAGGAAGATAGACTTAAGAGGGGATGTCTAACCACACAGGTGGGCTAGCAGTGTCTTGGGGAAGGGGGCCTTCTAAGCTCCCACTACCCATCAAGGTAATTTCACACACTCCAAACAAATAGTGTGCTTGCCAGGCAAACACAGCTTTACACAGGTGTCCCAACCTCCTCTCCCAGCCAGTCCTAAGTCCTTACTAAATAGAAATCTTAACCAACCCCCACCATGAGAACTAAAACATAAAATACAAGATGACAAATTTGTTTAAAGGTAGGTATGGTTAACTGTATGACAGCATTTTTGTCTGACCCTAAAAAAGAATTAAAGCCAAGGAAAAATGCCTTAAGCCTTTCATCATTTAAGATATCTAAAGCAAGCCTCCTTTACATTAACTTAGAGAATAAGCAAAATCAGTCTATCTTCAATTAAAAACTAAAATATTACCATCATTAGTTGCCCTGGGATAAAAAAAAAAGGCTATAGTCAAAAAACGTTCATATAGCAAACCAGCTATGGGGGTGGGCACCATCCTCCTACTCACCTCCATCTAAGGCTACAGTTTTAGCTAGCTACTTGGACAGGACAGAGGTCAGCTCTTGCAGCCTACATCATAAGTAACTTTTACCAACTATGTGAGCAAAGAAAGATGAGAAGAAAATGCAAAGAATAAAAATGATGAGCAGAGTCTACCAGGACCCACCCCCAAAGAAGGCTGGGTACTTCTAACTCCTTTATTTTACCACTGGTTATTTTCTAGAGATATTGGGAAGCTAAAACCATTGTCCCACTATAGGGACTGTGCTCAGCTCTGATAACTAACAATCAATACTTGACAGTTTCCTTAAGAATGGGTAAATTAGTTAATCCAATCATCCCTCTTGCAGGAATGGGACAAATCAGTTCTGTTCTGAAGAACTGATTCTCCAAACTCATCCCTCACCTCTAAACAACACTCTCTGTACAGTGCTGGCTCTCACTACTTCACAGACTTTTACATGCACCAAGCACCTGGGATCTTGTTAGGATACAGGTCCTGATTTAGCAGGGTTAGGTGATGCAGAGTCCACTTAAATCCCAATCTCTGAGGGTGAAACCCAGGCAGTGGTAAGGCTCCTCAGGTGACCCCCATGTGCAGCTGAAGTCACACACAATGCTAGAAGATTTGGAAAGGCTCAATCTAATTCCTGGCTACTCTGAATGTACCCCTGTGCACCAGGAACACCAGCACACTAACAGTGGCATCAGAGTTGTAGTAAAGACCAACAGAGGTAACATAGCTAAAGCACAGAGTAAATTCTCTAAAATATTAGCCATGGTTATCATTTTACTACTAGTAAATAATCATACTACCAGTATGATTATTATTCAGATAGGCTGATGCAACTGAGGAGGCCAAATTTGTAAGAAAACAGAGTTCTTCGGAAAACTATGAGTTAAAAGAAGATTAAAAAATATGAGCTGAGGAGTAGCTTCAAGAGGGTGGCTGAACTAACTTTGTAGTGAGGATGCTTCTCCTATATGAGTATGTAAGGGGGTGATATGGGGTCCTGTACATAGCCCACAACCCAGGCAGTAATAGCCACAATAACAGCTTCCATTCACTTGAGCCTTGATTAATGTGCTAGGCATTATTCTACTAGAATTCTCCAGGCAGAACCTAAGAGTTTTCATTACCCAAAGGCTACTGCACTTTCTGACTCAGGCCAGCCTGGGATCCTGATGGGGTGGAGAATTACTTTCCCCAGGACGGAGAAGATGCTGAGCATCTCAATTAATGATGAAGACTGGACACAATGTCTAAGTATGAGCCACAACAAACCAGTGCCAGGCTCAGAAGGATGAAGAAACTGTACTTAGAAACCCACCTCTGAGCCAGTCTACATTTTAAATCATGTGCCACTCTTCCTTAGGTTTTTTTTCCAGCCTCTCTTCCTTCTCTTTTCTTGATTCCTCTTCCTCTCAGAACTGCTTCTATGAGCTTATTTGCATGCACTTCCTAGATGCTTCTCCTCCTGGCACTTCTGGAAAATGGGGAAGAGTATGAAGGGTGGTACACCTGGCCACTTCACAGAGGTGTTTTGTGTCACAGCCAAGCAGGTCACTCTCTGCCCAGAGAGGAGGTGACATTCTATGAAAGAACAGCTCATGTGACTTTAACAACTAAAGTATGCCCATTAAGGGAAGACAGAAGGGCATGGTTTTGAGCCAGTCAGGCTGGAAATATGACGACAGTTCTAGAGAGTTCAATTGTATGTGTTCTTTTGAATCTACATTTAAATAGCTCTTTCACTCATTTTTCATTGGACTATGACCACTCTAGGAGCACCTTCCCAAGCCTCTAAGATAGAGGCTCCCATGTTATAATTGCAGATGCTGAGAGATCTAAGGGGTCTGCTCAAAAATCTAAGCACAAGGAGCATCAAGGCCTGGACTAGGCAACCTGGCTCCATACTATGACTCCACATCAAGATCTGTGTATTGCACATCATTTATGTTGTCTCATTTTTCCTCAGAGCAGCATGAGAGCTGCACACACAACCATCTTGATTTACAAATGAGCAAAGGAAAATACAGAGGAGCCCGATGACTGTCCAGGTGCAGAGCTCTAGTCAGTGAAGGAGGCAAAGTTCAGTCCAAGTCTGTGTGCCTCTCAAACCTAAGCCACAACCTCTGTCTAGGCACTCCAACAACCTCACCTTCTCTCTCCACAAATGTGAACAGATACAAATATTTAAGATTCACAGGACTGCTTCCTGTGTGATTATTCTCAAGAAGTCACTTCTTGTGATTATTCTACTATCTTTCCTTCAAAAACAAAAACAAAAACAAAACTGTTATGTAAAAATATTTTCTCTGAATTCCATAAGGTTCTTCAACTTCACAGACCCATTTTATAAATGAGGACCAGAAGCCCAGAATAATTAAGCAGCTTCCTGGGATGTTAAGCAAATCAGACAAAGAACCAGAACCCAAATTCAAAAGCCCCTGTGTCTTGGCCATAGCTCTGGGGCACCACCCAGACTAAGAGGTTCTCTGTAAAATGTTCAAACTGATAGCCAGAGGGTAAGTCACTGTTTAGTAGTGATAACAGGCTTCTGTGTTAGCTCTTTTAAAGAAGATCCTCACTGCAAGGGTAGTTCAGCACAGTTGCCACCTCACCACCATTCACACATGAATAAATCTGAGAAAACTAAAGATGGGGAAGGAGAGGTCATTCTTTATAAAAGTCTTTACTAAGACTTTACTTACTCAAGAGTCTTCCCAGTTCTGCAAAGAAAAACACATCCCCTATACATTGTTTTATGAGTGATAGATTCCTTTAAAGAATAACAACTTGCAAGACATTGTGTGTGCTCTATTACTCAACAAAAGCAGAATCATAAAATGCCAAATGTTTTTTTCAAATTCTTTTTTTTTTACTTATTTTAAAGATTTATTTCTTTTTAGAGAGGGGGATAGGAAGGAGAAGGAGGAGAGAAATATCAATGTGTGGTTGCCTCTCATACGCCCCCACTGGGGACCTGGCCCACAACCCAGGCATGTGCCATGACTGAGAACCGAACCAGTGACCCTTTATCCCTCAGGCTGGTGCTCAATCCACTGAGCCACACCAGCCAGGGCTGGATTAGGGATTCTTTTTTTTTCTTTTTTTAGATTTTATTTATTTATCTTTAGAGGGGAAGGGAAGGAGAGAGGGAGAGAAACATCAATGTATGGTTGCCTTTCATGCGTCCCCTGCAGGGAACTGACCTGCAGGGAACTGGCCTGCAACCCCAGTATGTGCCCTGACCGAGAATCGAACCGCGATTGTCTGGTTCGCAGGCCCGCACTCAATTCAAATTCTTATTTAGAGAGAAAGAAAACATGCTATTATTTTGTCAAAACCAGTCACCATGGCAGCCTGAGCCCTTGACTCTGTATGGCCTTTAGTTCATCAATGCAAATGTACATCGAATCTCTACAATTGTTTAGCATTTTATCACCTGCCAATTAAGAGTCAAAATAAAGTTTTCATTTAAGTGTAGAGAATTCTCACCTGCAAAAGCATTTGTGGCCTGAAAACCAGCTTCCTGCATACTGCTCCCCAGGCAAGCCTGTGTGCTCTGACTCAAGCTGTCCTGTCAAGAGGAAACTGCCTGGGTGAAGCCTCAGGTCACTTCCATCTTAGCTTGTTGGAGTCCATTTCTTTGTCCCATCCAGCTTTTGGCAGCATCTGATGCCCACCTGCCCTGCTCCCACAGAGCAGGCAGTCCCTGGGATGGCACCCAGTCCAGCAGCATGCACAATTAGGGCACACGGTCATGTCAGCCATCCAGCCAGAGGGTAGAGTCCATGGTGAGCAGGGAGTGATGGAAGCTGTGCTGCTAAGACCTGCTTTCCCACCTTAGAGCAAGGGCCTCCTCAGCAGCTCGGCAACCACCATGCTTCACAGCTCTCAGCTGCTCCTATGGAGCTTGGTACGGTCTGATCTGCTGCTCTTTGTGCTTTACCTCTTCCCTTGCTGAAATGAAAAAGAAAGAGATCATTTTCCTCATGACCTGTAGAAACTTGAAATTTAGTAGACTCAAAGAAGCCAAAAAGGAAAAAATAAAAGCCACAGAAAACTGTGCTGATGACCACACTGTAGGCACTAGGAGAGCTCTGGGGAAGGGACAGCTGCAGCCCCTTTTCCTGAAAGTCTGTGAAAGTGCAGGAGGACAAGACAACACAGCACTCTCTGCTCAGAGCTTCTCTAAGAACATCTACAGAAGTCATACAACCTTTCAATATCTTTCCCCTGGTTATGCTTAGTTCACATACTCCCTAAAGAAGCCCACTTTTCAAGTTCATTCCAGAGGTCTTACCAATGATGTCTGAGGTTCAGGTCCACTACCACAGCACTATCGAAAAAAACTAGGGTTGAGAGCTTTTAAAAAAAATGACTCTTAAGGGGGAAATAAAGACTAATTAATTTTTAAAAGAATGTGAAGGAAAAGCAAATTTAATCTACAAACTATTTCATCTATATTACATAATATTAACACATTACAAAATACTTTCAGATATTTCAGTATTGTTATATTACACAAGTAACATTAACAATAAGAATGGCAGAAGCTCAAAAAAACAGACTTTTAAAATGGAATCCCAAGTGTAAATGTCCAGTATTAAAGGAAAGGAATCTTTTTTCCATTATTACCACTTCATCTTAATCAATTTATGGCCAATTTTTATAAAATGTAGCCTTATTTCTTTTTTTCACCATCAAACTAGGAAAAAAGCAAAAAAATTTAAGGAAACATCATATAACAGAAAGAAATCCTCAATAAAAACCCTCTTAATGCAGCAAGTATAAAATAAGGTAACAAAGTAAAACATCACTAATACAGACTATTAGGAAGACTTTATATATTAATAAAGCACTTTAATTATTAAGAAGTTCAGATATAGTTTGCCTCCTTGCCCAACCAAAAGGACAAGAACAAATCTAAAAACAAAAAACAACCAGAACTGCCAGAAAACTGAACTGTATGGAAGTCTGGCAACCAAGAAGTTAAAGAAGAAATATTCATTCAGACAGGCAGGAGGGGTGGAGACAGGCAGATGGGGCACAAAGGATATGTGTCAAGGCAGTGGCAGAAAGATCTGGTGGTCAAAGCAGTGGCTGGTTGACTGGGTGGTCTTACATTTGTGTGTGGATAAACTGGGAGGAACAACTGTGGAGTGAGATGTACCACACAATCCAAGATTCCAGCATGGAGAAATAAAGTCTCAAAACCTCTGATTGTAAAACACTGTGTAGGTTGTAAAAATGGGAGAAACTCTGGGAAGCCTCAAAGAGACTCCACTGGAGAGACCCACAGGGTCCTAACAGGTACACAAGCCCATCTACCTGGGAATGAAAACTGGAAGGACCCAATTTGCTTATGGGTAGCAGGGGAAGTGACTGAAAGCCAGCTGAGAGATGAACAAACAGCATTGTTTCCTCTTGGACCTCTCCCCCACATACATGACACAATGCAGCAAAGTGGGTTGCCCCACCTGGCAAATACCTAAGGTTCCACACCTTAAAATGTAACTTGCACCTGGAGACAACAAAAATGCAGCCCAAATGAAAGAACAGATCAAAGCTCCAAAAATAGAACTAAGAGATGACAAGATTGCCAGCATATCAGATGTAGAGTTTGAAACATTGGTAATCAGGATGCTCACAGAAATGGTTGAGTATTATTGTAAAAAAGAGGAAGAAGTGAAGGCTATGCAAATTGAAATAAAGGAAAATACAGGGAACCAACAGTGAAGGGAAGGAAACTGAGACACCAATCAGTGACTTGGAGTGGAAAGAAAAAATAAACATTCAATCAGAACATACTGAAGAAACAAGAATTCCAAAAAAATGAGGAGAGGCTTCGGAACCTCCAGGACATCTTTAAATGTTCTAACATCTGAATCATAAGGGTGCCAGAAGAAAAAGAACAAGAGCAAGAAATTGAAAACTTATTTGAAAAAATAATGAAGAACTTCTCCAGTCTGGCAAAGGAAACAGACTTCCAGGAAGTCTAGGAAGCTCAGAGAGTCCTAAAGAAGTTGGACCCAAAGAAGCACACAGCAAGGCAAACCATAATTACATTACCCAAGATTAAAATTAAGGAGAGAATCTTAAAATCAAGAGGAAAGGAGAGAGTTACCTACAAAGGAGTGCCCATAAGTCTATTACCTGATTTCTCAAAAACAAAACAAAACAAAACAAAAACCTTGCAGGCAAGATGGGGCTGGAAAGAAGTATTCGAAGTCATGAAAGGAAAGGACTTCCATTCAAGATTACTCTACCCAGCAAAGCTATCATTTAGAATGGAAGGGCAAAGATAAAGTGCTTCCTACATATAAGGTCAAGCTAAAGGAGTTTATCATCACCAAGCCCGTATTTATGAAATGTTAAAGGGATTTATCTAAGAAAAGGAAGATAATCAAAACTATGAACAGTAAAATGACAACAAACTCACAATTATCAACAACTGAACCCCAAACAAAAACAAACCAAGCAAATAACTAGAACAGGAAAAAATTCACAGAAATCGAGATAACCCGGAGGGTTATCAGCAGGAAGGTGAAGGGGGAGAAAAGAGGGAAAAGGTATAGGGAATAAGAAGTATAATTGTTAGGTACAAAATAGACAGAGGAGGTTAAGAATAGTATGGGACAAGGGAGCCCCAATAAGGCTAGCTACTGACTTCTCAAGGGAAACACTCCAAGCAAGAAGAGAATGGCAAGAAATATTCCAAGTAATGAGAACCAGAGGCCTACAACCAAGGCTACTTTACCCAGCAAGGCTATCAATCAAGATAGAAGGCCAAATAAAGAGCTTCCAAGACAAAAGAAGTCTAAAAGAATATGTCTCCACCAAACCAGTCCTACAAGAAATACTAAAAGGACTACTTTAAGGAAAGGAAGGAAAAGTGAGAGGCAGAGAAGAACACAGGTACAAAAATGGCAATGAATAAGTACCTATCAATAATAACTTTAAACGTAAATGGATTAAATGGTCCAATTAAAAGACACAGAATACCTGAATGGATAAGAAAGCATGACCCTCACATATGTTGCCTACAAGAGACCCACCTCAGGACAAAGGACCATCACAGACTAAAAGTGAAAGGCTGGAAACAAATTTACCAAGCAAACAGACAAGAAAAAAAAAAGCTGGGGTAGCAATTCTCATATCAGACAAAATAGACTTCAAAAAGAGGACCATAAAAAGAGACCCAGAAGGTCACTTCATAATACTCAAGGGAAGAATCCACCAAGAAGACATTAACATCGTAAATATATATGCACCCAACATAGGAGCACCAAAATATATCAAAAAAATCTTAGAAGACTCCAAGAATGATATTGACAGCAACACAATTATAGTAGGGGATTTTAACACCCCACTATCAAAAATGGACAGATCTTCCAAACAAAATATCAATAAAGATATTGTGTCATTAAACAACACCCTAGAGGAAATGGACTTAACTGACATATATAGAGCCTTTGATCCCAAAGAAGCTAAATACACATTCTTTTTAAATGCACATGGAACATTCTCAAAAATCGACCACATGATAGGTCACAAAATGAGCCTCAACAAAGTCAAGAAAATTGAAATCATACCAAGCATTTTCTCTGACCACAAGGGACTGAAATTGGAAACCAACCCTAGAGGAAAAAACCCAAAGCACCCCAAATCATGGAGACTGGATGGTATGCTACTAAACAATGAATGGGTCAAGAATGAAATTAGGGAAGAAATCAAAAAGTTTCTGGAAACAAATGAAAACGATCTCACAACAACCCAAAACTTATGGGACACAGCCAAGGCAGTCCTGAGAGGGAAGTTTATAGCAATACAGGCCTACCTAAAAAAAACAGAAACATTTCAAACAAACAACCTTACTCTATGCCTGCAAGAACTCGAGGAACAACAACAAAAACAGCCCAAAGCAAGTAGAAGGAAGGAAATAACTAAGATCAGAGCAGAACTAAATGACATAGAGACTAAAAGTACAATCCTAAGGATTAATGAATCCAGGAGTGGGTTCTTTGAGAAGATAAACAAAATAGACGAGCCTTTAAGTAGGCTCATCAAGAAAAGAAGGGAACGGACACAAATAAACACAATGAGAAATGAAAGAGGAGAGATTACAACTGATACCACAGAAATAGAAAGGATTGTAAGAAATTACTATGAAGAACTGTATGCCAAGAAATTTGAGAACCTAGGGGAAATGACACATTTCTAGAAAAATATAATCTCCCAAAACTCAATGAAAAAGAAGTAGAAAACCTGAATAGACCAATAACAGCAAAAGAAATTGAAGCAGTAATAAAAAAAACTCCCATCACACAAAAGCCCTGGACCAGATGGTTTCACAGGAGAATTCTACAAAGCATTTAAGGAACAGCTAACCCCTATTCTTCACAGACTATTCCAAAAAATCCAAAAGGATGGAAAACTCCCAAACTCCTTTTATGAAGCCAGCATCATCCTAATCCCAAAACCAGATGGAGATACAACAAAGAAAGAAAACTTCAGGCCAATATCACTGATGAACATAGATGCTAAAATCCTCAACAAAATATTGGCAAATCGCATCCAACAATATATCCAAAAGATTATACACCACGACCAAGTGGGATTCATCCCAGGGATGCAAGGATGGTTCAACATTCGCAAATCAGTAAATGTAATTCATCACATAAACAAAAGCAAAGACAAAAAACCACATGATCATATCAATAGATGCGGATAAAGCTTTTGATAAGGTCCAGCACCCATTTATGATAAAAACACTCAGCAAAGTGGGAATAGAGGGAGCATTCCTCAATATAATAAAGGCCATATATGAGAGACCTACAGCCAATATCATACTCAATGGGCAAAAACTAAAAGCTTTTCCACTAAGATCAGGAACAAGACAAGAATGTCCACTTTCACCACTTCTATTCAATATAGTATTAGAAGTTTTGGCCACAGCA